AGAAGCTACTAGGAACAAGTGCATCGCTTCTAGTAACAAGTGCCTTACTAGTACTAACAAGAAGCTAGTAGAAACAAGTGCCACGCTACTTGTTACTAGAAGCGATGCACTTGTTACTAGTAGCGAACCTTTTGCCTAAAGAAAGAAATGCCCCTAGTAGATTCCTTGCTCCTAGTAGCGATGCCAGGAGCCCCTAGTAGCGAACCTTGTTCCTAGTAGTAAGGCCAGGAGCCCCGTTCGTAGCTTCTTTTCCTTTGTTCCTTCCTTTGTATTTAACTTAGCTGCTCGTTCTTTGCTGTACCATTTCTGCGTCTTGTGAGACCACACCATCGTCCATGGCTCCGTGACAGGTGTTTAACCCACTTCAGCAGCGATGGTCAAAGACGGGTGCAGCAAGCAACTAAGTTTCCAAACTTCTTTTGGAGGTAACTTCAGTTTGGATGGGGTTACTGAGTCTATGTAGGTTATAGTTTTTTTCTCTCTCTCTCTCTTTTCGTGCGAGTTTGCTGAGGCCTTACTAAGAGCGCGGTGGGGCCATGGTTACCCGGCCGACTTTGTCAAGACATAGAGATAGACAAGACGGGACATACTTTCTTGTTTTGGGGTCCTTGATGATGGCAGGCTGCTCATTCTTAGGGTCGGAAGTTTATGCTGTCGTGCCCTCAGCCAGAGCAGCATTTCAGAGCAGTGTGACATCGCACCAGTGTATTGAGGTTGGTGGTTGTGCCCTCCTACCAGGCTCTTTGATTGGAGAGGACCAGACAGATTAGAAAGCAAATGCTGCGAATGGTTGCTTGTGAGCAGCTTGGGAACGTGCTTGGTTTCTTTCCTTGCAAAGACTAAACGTAATCTTTTCTTGCTACTTATTGTGTAGAGTTCCCAGTTTTCTTCCAGGAGCTGATGGAGACCTTGCGCAGTTGTGAGGCAAACCCGCCGCCACTTCCATGCAGTTCGCGACACTGGCATTCTCCACGTTTATCCTTTAGACTAAGTAGCAAGGACGCTAATGGGTGGAGGCCATCGCAAGAAGGTTGGATGTCATCGAAGAAGGTTGGCGGTCATCGCTATTAGGTGGAGGCCATCGCAAGTAGGTTGGAGCTATCGCTATTGGGTGGAGGGCATCGCAAGTAGGTTGGAGGCCATCGCAAGTAGATTTGAGGCCATCGCTCTTGGGTGGAGGGCATCGCAAGCAGGTTGGAGACCATCGCAAGTAGGTTGGAGGCCATCGCTATTGGGTGGGGGGCATCGCAAGTAGGTTGGAGGCCATCGCACGTAGATTGGAGGCCATCGCTATTAGGTGGAGGGCATCGCAAGTAGGTTGGAGGCCATCGCTACTAGGAACCAGAAGCTACTGGTAGCATTCAGCGATCCCTCTGTCCGGTTTCAAATTCTCCATGTTCCTCCGGTTCCAAATCTGATCGTCAGAGCTGCTCAGTCAGCCAGGCGTATGACGTGACCACCGATTCGTGGCGAATTGCTCCGAGCCTCAATGTGGCTCGTGCGGGTGCAAGGTGCGTCTACGCACACGCACACACACAGTATCACACAGTATATGTATATGTGTAATCTTTTATCTTTACATTAGAAAATGTATGTACATCAATTGCGCCCTCAGGGCTCTTCACATCTGTATCTTGTTCAGCAAGCTCATTCCATCCCTCTCTGCACTAGGGTTGTGACCATTGCTGGTGGCAAGTTGGCCGCTGTGGGTGGTTGCGATGACGTCTTTGGAAGGGCAGAGTCCGAGACTCAGGAAAGGGTGGGTAAGGGTAGAGCACGAGAGTCATTTAGGCTGAACACGTTCGGGAAGAGTCATTCCTTGGAGTGACATGCTATGCCCTGCCAAGGATGCTTGCGAGTGTGGAAATCTTGAAGCAAGGGTCGCGCAGCTGAAGTAAAGATGATTCAGTCAACACCACCCTAGATGTTCACCTATTTTTTACTATCTCCTTTCTCCCGAGGAATAGCAACTGGGAGCTCCTGGATACACAGCTTGGTGTCCCCAGGAGCATTCTAGGGTCTCTTTAGCTTTGCCAGACGCGTTTCAACACTGCCAAGTGCTGGTTGTAGGACCACGGCTGCAGCAGTGGCTCTCGATGCTGAAAGGATCCTAGCACGCACCTCGATGATTTGCCGGCTTTGGCTTGACTGAGATTTGATGCAGCCTGAGCTGGCTCGGAATGGGCTTCTTGCCAGCTCTCGTCAGGTGATGGGCGGTGCACCCTCATTGTCATCAGCAGAGGCGAGGAAAGATCCTTCTATGCAGACTGCAATTGGGCAAATTTGCACATGTGAGATGCGAGGTCTACCATGTCCAGAAGAAAGCGCAGGAAGATCAAGGTGAGCAAAGGGCACAGGGGATTCCCTCTGGTCAAGATGGATTGAACTGCCGTTTCGCAGGAGAGGTTGGGTGCGCCAGCCAGATCCAGATCGGAGACATGGCAGAAGGCCGCATGGGCTGCCAAGCTGTAGTGATGCGACTGCCAGCACCTGGAAAGCCATCATCTCAGATCAATGAAATCCGCCTGTTTGGAAAATACAAGGAGAAAGGAAGGTTAGTAAGGTTCCTTTGAAAAGTGCCTTGCTTGCCGCGTTTCATTTGTTTTTCTTATTCTCTTTTCTCATCATGGCTCATGACGGCCATCCAAGCCTTTCATTGGCGCTTACCACTGGGAGCCATTGATTGCATAACTCTTACTGAGGACCTTCCCAACTTGTACACGGCAATGTGTCGTGGTGGTCGGTGGAGAGAATGGAGACGAGGAGCCTTGAGCTTTCAACCTGGGTGCTTGAAGAAAACTGCTAAGAGCAATGGCCTCCACCCTAGTAGCGTCCTTGCTCCTAATAGCAAAAAAGCCTGAGAGCGATGGCCTCCAACCTAAGAGCTTGACAGGACTGGGAAGATGAAGGTGCTACTCTGGCAAGGCAGTTTAGCACTGTTCTGGTCTTCGATGCGGAGGAGGGTGTTTGGCGACCGACAGACGCACTTTGAAAGCAAGAAGCTGTCCAGGCTGTCCAGTAGCCAGTTCAGTGTTTCTATCAGAGGTCCGGTTAACCCAAGGCCTTTCCACACTTGCCGACACCGCGAACAGCGATGGCGCTTTGTGTGGCTCCGGGATTAGTGGTTGGCTCCCAAGTCTTGAAGGTGAGTGGGAAACCTGTCGGAAACCTGGAAAATCTGACGGTCCCCAGTGGCTCCGATTTTCACCGAGGTCGGCCATTGCCACTAAGCTCCAAGCCATTCCGCCTAGTGGGGACCTTTAGCTTGCTCAAGCAAGCCAGCCATATACCAAAACATCAAGGGCGCTACCGTTCTTTTTTTGACTCCTATTGGTTCCAAACAATTGAGCTTGCTGTTGTCCTTGTTGTTTTGGGATGCCTGGTTCTGTGAGTGGTCCCCTTACCTCGTCACTCTGAGCCGTCCTGGGCCCTGCCCTGGAACTCGGTCAACTTTCTATCGTGCACTGTGTCTGCCAATGGCAGAGCTGGAGCCACGACATGGGACACCCCTCCGCACCGTGTGACACGCTGCCATGTGACACGCATCAAGTGCTTCAAACGGTGTTTGTGTTGCCAGTAGGAAGTGATAGCGCTTCCAAGTGCAATATGTGCAGCCTGGGCAAAGTGTCCTTGTGTTTGGGCATGGTACTCCCCTAACTGGGAGCTACATCCAGATGTGGCTGCAACACCTTACGGCCACAAGGCGACATGCAGACGGCGGATTCCTGATCAGTCATTTGCTAAAGCAGGGACCCAATAGCTTCCAACCTAATAGGCTTGATATAAGAAAAGGTGACTTACGGTGACTTGTTTATCTCAAACACTGGAAGGACAGTTCTTCATGGAAAGTCCTGCCTGCTTGAAGCCAAGCTGAATCGTAGGCGGGCGATCTGCTTGGGACTAGCACTCTTCAATGACTGATATTGGCGATTCTAGGGAAATTTTCTTGTGGAGGGGCAGTGTTCATGTTGGTAGGTGACACGTAGAGGCCCCCATGCTTCTAGACCAAGCCAAAACCACTATAATATATATATATATAAATATATGTATATATTATAGTCTCGAGCAAAGCTGGCTGCTGCATCACTTCTGGTGGTGTCGATGTGATGCGGTTTCTTAAGTAGCACTTGAGCCAATGGCATCGTTCATAGACATCATAAAGTCATAAAGAAGTGGGCAGATGCTTGAAACAAGAGCCAAACACAACCCATCCCACCAGAATCTGATCATCTAAACATATGCAAAGACGTCAACATATAAACCTCTCAAAACAACAACAAGTAGTCAGGTCCAAGACTTACGGTGCGAGCATTCTTTTCCTCGAGCAGATCAGCCAAATGAGCTCCTACGCTCTGCAACAGGGCCAGAAGTGGAGCCATAGGCTTTCAAAGGATCAAGCGCAGATCTTGCACTCGATGTGATGAGAACAGGACAAGCTAGGAGACTAAATATTCCTTTAGCGCCAGCAGTGCTGAAAGGTTTATTGCGCAGTTTCAGTCCAAGGGATACGGAGACCCGCGTTGTTTTGCAATTCTAGACGGCAAGCAACGGGAGACGGAGGAGAGATCTCCGTGCTTTCAAGGCTGCAAGAAGTTGAGCGCTTCCTGCCTCTCAGTTTCACCAGCGGATGCGCAAGTGTCCTGAGGACTGCGCAGACTGCAGAGGGCCTGATCGAAGCTAGACAAACGCTAAGCCGCTAAACAAACTAGCAGAAGCCATGCTTTCCAACGTTTGTGCCAGTCTAGAACTTGGTAGAAAAAATGGAAACACGGTAAAGTATTTTTCCTTTTTCAAGCTTTGATCAGCCTCTCTCTTTTTTTGGCCCCTGTGCCGCTCTGGCAGCGTGACACTTACAATGTGGGAAGTGTGTGGGACCGAATTTGTGACGAGTTCTTTCGGCTTCGAATTTGTGCCGCTTTGGGCGCTCGCACCCAGAGCCTCTGAACAGTGCAAGCCCTAGGCTTTGCAGTTGACCTGCGGCATTGAGCGGACCGACCTGTGCCAATTTTTGGCCGAACGATGAACCTCAATCCTTGATGCTAAGCTTGCTGCCAGCTTGCTGCTAGTAAGGGGTGGCAAGTCCGAGCAAGCTGTCCCAATGTTAGTTGCCCAGTGATTCCTTCATTTGATTCCCCCTTCTCACCCAGCACATGCTAAGCCCCTAGACCCAAACTATTTCACTTTTCCCAGGCGGATGGTGTCATTCCCGTTTTGCTCAAGTCCTACCGAACCTGCTCTACAATTTGGGGAGGGTGAGAGAAGGAAAGCCTGCAAACACGAAGATGAGGCTGCCACCCATCTCCGGGCGTTCCTTACCACAGTATGTGTCATGGTCAAGTCTTGCAATGTCTGTTCAGCCTACCAGCCTACCCCTCCTATCAAAAAAATGCCCGAGAAAACACCGACAACCTTGGCCAAACCAACTGCAACGGAAAGGGCCGTTGCTTGTGCCGGAGGGAAACTGCCAAAGAGGTCAAGCCGGAGAAGCATTCCGGTATGGAGGGGAACAAGCCGTGACGTCAAAGCCATGCAAAACCTATCACCCAATAGAAGCACTTAGAAATTGTTCTTGTGGGCGTCGCGGTTGCCGGGACTCAAGCAATGGGGGCATCTTTTAGAGGAGAAAAGCATGCTGATCAGCGGTTGGCAGTGAGTGAAAACACACACACACACACACACACGTCACAGACGGACAGATGTGCTTGCATTCCCGTGTAACGTTTTATGTTCTGATTTTTTCGGCTCGGGGAAAGCACTTTGGCGATGTTGCCTTTGGCGCCTAAAACGCCAGTGCGATCAGCCTGGCCAGCACGGCATGCGCGGCCAGTGCCTGCTGTTCAGAAGTTGGTCAGCCCAGGCAGGATGAGTTTGATGAGCAGTCCGTGGCCGAAACAAGACACTGTGCTGGCTAAGGTCTAGGTGCCCCAGGCGTGCCATGCCTTCTCGTATCGGTGGCGTTTGATCTCTGTGGCAAGCAGCTCCGAGGCCACCTCAAAAGCCTGATCAGTTTATACCAAGAGCACATGATTCAAGCTACTAGTATCAAAGGGCATTGCTACTAGGAGAAAGAAGCTACTAGTAGCTCCTGGCATTACTACTGGTAGCACAAAGCTACTAGTATCTGTGACGAAACACTTCAGCTGTCTCCTTTGCAGGCCGGAAATCTCGGCAGGCGACTGCTCGACGCTCCACCGTGGTCTCTCCATTTGGAGCTCCCCAGGCAAGGAAAAGAGAACAGAAAAGAACAACAAATATGCATGATTTTCCTGTCTCTTTAGACGCTTTTAGGTCTTGACCTCTCTTTTCTCCTTTCTTTCAACAAGGCGTTTTTTTGCCGAGAGTGCTTCAGCTTGAGGAGACGAAGGTCGAAGAGGAAGTTGCTGAAGAGAAGCCAGAGGACAAAAAGAAGTCTGAAGAGAAGCAAAAGCCCAAGCTGCCATTGACTTGGGACAATGTGCAAGAGGCCGGGAAAGATCGGCAATGTACCCAAGGCATTGATTGCTGTAATGTTGGTAGGTTTTGGACGAGCTACGGCCCTACTTGAAGAGTGATGGCGGCGACTGCAAAATCTCCGACATAGATGGGACCGTTGTAAGATTGGAACTCATTGGGGCCTGCAGTAGCTGCTCAGCATCCTCGGTGACTATGACAATGGGCATAGAGAAGCCTGCCGCTGCAACATACAACATGAAGCAGTTCTTTTGTTCTCTTGATTTCTAAATCTGCTACCTCTTGGATTTGATGATCTCCGTCCTCTCTTGGATCTCGAGCCAGTAGTTCACTAAGGAAATCGCTGAAAGAGCGAATCCCAGAAGTCTCCGAGGTTGTGGCTGTGACACCGGAACAGGAGCCACTAACATCAGCTGGCGTGGAGGAGGTGTCTTGAGTGTTTCCTTTGTGATTCGTGTGGTGTCAAGACTCTTGGTGATGTTGATGATTTGATTTAGATGCCACATTCTTTTACTTCCTTTATGCCTGGCCAACCTTATGATACTAGTCGGTGGAGTGTTGCTCAGAGGGTGCATTGATATGCTTTGATACCTTTGCAGTTGCCTGGCCCTGGAGAGGTCTTGAATGGGATCCGGCCCTTTCTAAGTGTGAGTGGTGGATCAATTGAGATTTTCGAGCTTGGGGATGGAGACGATCCAAAGGTGGTGCTCAAGATGATTGGACCACCTTTGAAGAGTATGGCGGCAACTTGCCATTCTCAATCTTTACGCTTTCTTGATTCTTGATCAACCTACTAGCGCTGGCCTCTAACCTACTAAGAGATTCTTGGTGTGATGCCGTGTGATGTCTCCAGGTACGAGTTGAGGTTCAGAATCGGATCAAGCGGAAGTACCCGGCTGTCCAAGAAGTGAGCATCGTAGGTGAGGACGGGCAACCACCCTCGTCTGCTTGAGTTAAGCTGGTCAGGAATACAGTCCGCGGCCCTTACGCCTCTTGAGCACACAAGCTTGTTCAACCACCGTCTGGATGCACATCACTACGAAAGACTACCAAAGACATTCCAAACTGCTAGTAATTACAAGTGCATCGCTAGTAGTAACAAGTGCCTTACTGGTAGTAACCATGTTTGCTAGTAATTACAATTCTAATTAAATTCTTGTTACTAGTAGTAAGGCACTTGTTTCTAATAGCCTTTTGTTACTACTAGCGTGGCACTTGTTACTAGTAGCTTCCAAACTCACTCTCTTCAATTTGACAGTGAAGTGCTCTTTCAAAGAGTAAGAATTCCCCAGTCCTTCTGGCCGTGTTGCGGCGAGCACACAATCAAGGCCGAGTGTTTTTTCAGCCTGACCATACCCCTGCGCCATCCCGGCAAAAGGAGATTAGGCCATTTTTTGCCGGTGATTATGTTTCAGCATCCCGCAAAAAATGTGTTCATTCTGTTTGCTGTGCTAGCCGTTTCTTCAAAGGATGGTGTTGTAAACAGACTCCATGGTTCATGACAGACAAGCCTGTCCGAAGGCATCAGTGAGACTTGAGACTGGTCCTTGATGCTACTTTCTGGCTACTTTCTTGAAACAGAGCCTAATAGCAATGGCCTCCAACCTACTAGTCATGGCTTCTAACCTACTCCTCCAACCAGACACTTGCTGAAATTGTTGAACTTGTGTACTCGACCCGAAAGCAGTGCCATTCGATTTTAACACAGAACACGCGTTGCAGAGCCCATGGTTTGCTTTGCACCCTTTGCGCCCACACACTTGCATGGACGGGCCTGATGAGGATGAAGGAGACTTTAACCTGCTTCCCAACCTTTTTCACAGCCAGCCATGTGATTTAGCAAGGAGTTACGGCTGAGAAGCGGAGGCGTGGGGGGGTGTAGGGCTGGGAGATCAACATGCCAAGTCCTTCTTTGGCCTTCAGCCTTGCAGGCCTTCACCTCTATGCCAGGTGTGCCAGCAGCTGGAGTCACGATATCGTGCGATTCTCAGTGAGCCCAAAGCACATTCAGAAGGATGCCTTGACTTAAGGCTTGTTTGGCCAAGGCTGAGCCTCTTTGATTTTGCAGTTTTTTTTTTAAAGTTGGGGGGTGTAGGCCCATGTAGGCTAAAGTGGCACAGGGTGGGCAAGGGTACTTCAATTGGCAGCAAATTGATAGCAAGAACTTCAAGCAACACTTCTTCAAACAACGGTAGCTAGATGCAACTAGCAGCGCTGCTAGCAGATCCTGCTCTGTAAGGCAGGCGCTCCCTTGACTTGAAGAAACCTTTGTATGGAGAAGAACCCGTATCGAATCCACAGCATTCTTGTAAGGAGTAGTGAGTAGTAGTACGTGTGACGATGTATTCAGATTTGAAGCTTCTTGCGGAGTTCATTGATGACTGTTATTTTGGCTTGATTTATCAAGAGATTGGGGTGCCCCAATCGCTTTGCAGAAGATCAATGTCATTGCCTGCTTGCTTACCGGGCTTTTCTTCTCTTTCTTTGTGCGGAATTTGCTGAAGTTTATGCATGCAAATGCTAGTCTGCTTTAGGCAGGGTTGCCTTCTTTTAGATTCGATGATGCATCTCCACCCGCGTAAACCCGCGTAAACCCGCGTAAACCCGCGTCACCAAATTCAGACACATTTCCCGCTGCACTGTGGAGATGCACCCATCAGCTTCATGGCCAGTGAGCGGGCTCTCACTGTTTTTTTCAACACGAAGATAAACATGCCGAAGCAAAGGAGGCCACACCGCCTCAGCAAACCCTTGGCTTTGGTTAAGAAGCGCTCATGCTCTTGCTTGCTTGCTTGCTTGCTGGCTGGCTGGCTGGCTGGCTTGCTTGCTTGCTTGCTTGCTTGCTTGCTTGCTTGCTTGCTTGCTT